AGGCCCATGGAGCGCACAGGCACTTCTTTGGGGGGCAGGAGGGCCCCACTGGGCTTCTCTGTGCCGCCCCCGCCTTGCTGGGATGCCGCCAAGCCCCGACTAAGCTCGGCAACAGTGGAGAGGGCCACATTGCACTTCCCTGGGCAGGCGGGGGGTGGGAGGGCTCTGCTGGGCTTCTCTGAGCCACCCCCTCCCTCGCTGGGCCATCGCTGAGCCACAACTGGGCTGCAGGAGGCTGGAAACGGCCACACCATGCTTCCCTGGGCCAGCGCGGCCAGGCCCAGGAACGCCATGGGCCCTTCTTTGGGGTGTGGGAGAGCCCTGCCAGGCTTCTTTGGTCTGCCCCCTGCCTCGCAGGGCTGCCGCCGAGCCCCGACTGGGCTGGAGGAGGCTGGAAATGGCCGCGCCGCACTTCCCCAAGCCACAGTGGCCAGGCACAGGGACACCGTGGGCTCTTCTTCGGGGGGTGGGAGGGACCCGCTGGGCTTCTCTGAGCCGCCCCCCGCCTTGCAGGCCTGCCGCAGGGCCCCAACTGGACTGGAGGAGGCTGGAAACGGCCACAGCACGCTTCCCTGGACTGCTGCAGCCAGGCATAGGGACGTTGTGGGCCCTTCTTCGGGGGCAGGAGGGACCCGCTGGGCTTCTCTGACTGGCCTCCCACCTAACAGGACCGCTGCCGAGCCCCGACTGGGCTGGAGGAGGCTGAAAACGGCCATGCCTTGCTTCCCTGGGCCTCCGTGGCCAGGCCCAGAGACGCTGTGGGCCCTTATTTGGGGGGTGGGAGGCCCCGCCTGGCTTCTCTGTGCCGCCCCCTGCCTTGCTGGCCCGGCGGCATACCCCTGAGGCTCAGGGAGGGGGAGAAGGGCCACACCGCACTTCCATGGGGCCATGCTGCCTGGCCCAGAGAGGCTACGGACCCTTCTTTGGGGGGAGGGCCCGGCCTTCCCTGACCTTCCCTTGCCCAAAGAGGTCATGGCAGCTCTATCCGGGCCAGTGGGCCCTTCTTCGGGAGGCTGGGCAGTCCGCCTCAATCATCACTCAGCCGGTGGGGCAGCTGGGCCTTGCTGGGGAGGGGGAATGGCGGCCTACCTCCACCACCCGCGCCTTCCAGGGGGGTGGCCTTCTCCCTCCCCATCTTTTTCTCCTTCCTCCCCCCATATTCCCTTATTTCCCTCTAGTCTCCCTCCTGCCCTCCCTCTTTCTCTTTCTTCCTTTCGTCCTCCCCTTATGTTCTTCTGTTCTTCTGCCGTGGTCTTCCCATCGTGCTCAGATGGGACTGAGGGGGCCGGGGAGCTGGACCACTGCTGCGGGATGCCACGCTCACCCAGGCCCCCTTCCTAGCACTCGTTGCATTCATTGCCACAACGGGCCTTTCTTCTAGTAGGGAATAAGGCAGAAGACAAGAAAAGGTAATCTTGTCACTTTACTCTTCCCATACTTGTTCCGTAGACCTGGACTACAAAAGGCAAATTTACACTGATGTGACTGAATGTTCCCAGTTTGGTGCCATCACAATCTTTATAAGTTTAGGGCAAACAGATTATGAAGTTTGTGATACAGAAAACTACCTAACACATTTTCTTGTGTCAAGTTAACACCTGCATAATTGCCCGTTTTCAATGGGTTGGAACTTGTGTAACTGCTTGGGTAGCCAGAAATCTTGTTTCTGCGTGAAATTTCTGCTGATCCTCCCACGCACACAGCATACCCCTCTGCCCCCCCCCACTGTTCCCAAGGGTACGCTAACCCACAAAAGCAGGATACCGCAGGAAAGAGGAGGTACAAAAGTTCCATTACATGAATCCACATGGACTTACAGTGAATACAGTTCAACCCGATCAGATCAACCCAATCAATGCAAATGCAATGAAAAATTCCAAATGTCATACATAATCATTTTAAAAAGTATCTCCAATCCAACTGTTTTTGTAGTCAATTTGCAACTGTTTCCAGCACTAATACTGAGAAGTGTATGAAGACATGGTGAGAAAAACCAATGAAATTTTTCACAAAACTCCCACAGAGAAGTTATTGGCAAGAGCCCAAGGAAATATTTTGGCTTTCATTATAAACTTGCTCTGTTGGTATTTAAATGCTCTTTGTTGAAATAATGCTTTGTGCATGCTCAAGCACTTTATCTTTCGACTCATACTGCATTCGCCCTACAACATATAATGCTTACATTTAATTCCTTATCAGCTGAATGAGATTTCCTCAGGATTAATGTCAACAGGGAGCTGATATATGGTCAGAAAGTAATAAGCAATAGCTAAAGATCAAGCTGAAGTTGAATTTATGACACCATTTTGGATCTGTGCACATTACTGTCTCACCACACCTGCACTGCTCATTTTCAGCCACTAGATGGGGTAAAAAATGTTTTTGAAACGGCATCCAAGAATCACCCAAATGCCACAGAGCTGAAACATTCATTGAGAGGGTTAAGAAATATTTGTTTGGGCCCTTAAACTTAGAAGGCTCATGATTCTATTTTACCTTGATTGTATTCTTAACAAACTCTTTGTCTTGTTGGTAATGCTCAGTCAGACCTTGAACAGCAGTTTAGTGGAAACAAGATAGATTATTCTTTAGCACTTCACTGTCCGATCTCCCTAACTTCAGTGCTGACAGGAAATCTCATTTTGCTGGAAAAAAAACTGCATCAGGCTAAGTAAAAGCAGGTTACATTCTGCTTTATAAAAGAAATTACTTCAGAGAAGAAAACTCTGACCTATCAGGATCTTCTACAGTAGACCGAATATATATTAATCAGAGTACAATAAAATGAGGGGAAAGGCCATGATTACATTACTGTAAGTTCCCTCCCACCCATGCTTCCTTTTTAAGATGGAATGTTTTCAATAATATACACATGGGAAACCACAATACAATTGGTAGCATATAGGAGCGGCTAAAGAATGTTTGTTCTCAGCTTAGTCAAGTTAGTACAGTAATATATTGCTACAACATACAGTTTTCAGTACACCACCAAGACTCTGCTTAATATAGTTAGTTAGTTTACCTTTAGTGGCATTAGAAAAGGGAACATTAAACAAATATGTTTAATATAGTGTACAATATATGCTGGCCCTGGATTCAAATTCTGTTCTGCCAGGGACTCACTAAGTAGGCTCATATCTAATTCTCCATCTTCAAAAATGAGACTGTGGGTGACTTACCTCAGGGGGATACTGCAAAACCAAGGCAAAATACAGATTTTGAAACACATGAATCCAGCCAGTTTTTCCACTCCATCGCACCCATTCCCATGCATACGGCAGCCAAAGTCCCACATAACTGTTGTACATGCAGGTGCCATAATTCTCCCCGTATGGCCTTTTTGGGTGGCCAAAGAGGACCCTCCTTCCTTTGTCGCCAGAAGAAAAGATGGCTGGATTCAACTTCATTAAATACTATAGTCATGTTATGAAATTATTTGCTAAATGTATATTGAAAACAAAATTGGATTCAACTAGTTTTCGAGCAAGGGAAATCTTTTTATATTGGGGGGGCGTGGTGGCTCAGAGGTTAAGACGTTGAGCTGCAGACCAGAAGATCTGTAGTTCGGCAGTTCGAGACCCTAGTGCCGCGTGACGGAGTGTGCTCCCGTCTCTGGCCCCAGCTCCTGCCAACCTAGCATTGCAAGTAGATAAATAGGTACCGCTTCGGTGGGAAGGTAACAGTGTTTTGTGTGCCTCAGTGTTCAGTCATGCAGGCCACAGGACCACAGAGAAGTCTTCAGACAGCACTGGCTCTTTGGCTTAGAAACGGAGATGAGCACCACCCCCTAGAGTTGGATTCGACTACCTTTCGAGCAAGGGAAACCTTTTTATACTGAAGACAAAGCACAAGATCAAGTTCCAATTAGCAAAATGGCTCATTGCATGATTAGTTCTGGCCACAGTCACATGACTACTTTGCATTTTACTATGGAATGGATTCAGCATGACATCATGGTTCGAGTGTCGGACTGGGATCTGGGAGACCTTGGTCCAAATCCCCCTCTGCCACGGAAGCTGGCTGGGTGACCTTTGGCCAGTCACACACTCTCAGCCTGACCTTCCTCACAGGATTGTTGTGAGGATAAAATGAAGGAGGGGAGGATGCTGTAAACCACTTTGGGTCCCCACTGTGAAGAAAAGGGGTATATAAATGAATAAAGAAATAAATCATGGTGTAGGCATGGTAACAGCACAGTTCTGCCAACTCTGCACATAGCCAAGAACAGATCCAAGATGAAATTACTTAAGACTGCCCTCAAGCTTCAGGCAAACCCTGAAAAGGGGTCAAGGAAGGCTCTGCACAATCGTGGCTGAAAAACACCATCTTGTGGAAATACCTTAAGCAAGACTAAAAAATGTCTTTATAACTTTGTCCACCATAAAATATTTAAATACAGAAAACAGGCCAGGGCATATTTTGTGAAAATCTTAAACCTGATACTTGTAAAACTTGCTAAGGGTGAAATTCTGCACTGTTTGGGAAATATACGAAAGAAAATTAGCATATGGCACTAAAAAAAAGAAAAAGAAAATTGTGTTTGAAGATACATTGAATCTGAGAGCTTAATTTACACACACATCGGCCCTGGTGGTTCTTGAACTGTGATGTGGAAGACACTGAGAGACATTAGACTAATGACAAAGAGGAAATTAAAAAACAAACAAGCAACCACATGGACACACATCACAGCCTAGTTGACAAGGGAAACTTTTGCATGCAATAAGGGCATTGTCTTGGAGGGAAGTTCCTTGGTGGCTGGAAGCCAAGCTTCCCAGCAGAGATAAACATGGCTTTAAAAGCAATTCCTGTTGCACAATTACACTTCAAAATGTGATTACATTCCATTGACAAAATAATGAATGTGCAAGGAACTCCTAACTGAATGCAAAGGATGTAAAGGAAGTGCCAGTTTCCCCACACCCTTGATGGGTACAAGGCTGCATGTTTTTATTCCAGCTATTTTCTCCCACCTATCTATTCCCAGTAGCACACTGTACCTTGCTGAGAATGTAGATAACGTCACCACGTTTGAATGTCAGTTCATCAGGAACATCTCCAGCGCAGTCCCACATACCTTGGTAGAAATTAGCATAATCTGTGTTTTTATTGCCTGGGGAAGGAAAAGGTGCATACATGAGGCTTTGTCAGTATATGTAGCTGAGGCTTTGATTGTCAAGGTTATAAATACACTGCCACTCAAAGTCATGCTACAGAACATTTTTCAGCTCTGGGAGAGAGAGTCCACCCTACCCTGTTGGTCCCAATAGAAGTGCTGCAGAAAAGGTGAAAAACAAGTTCCACTTCTTGTATTCTTCGAAAACATGTTGCTCCCAAAAGCATGTAGGTACAAGTTCTCACAGGGCAACACAGAACTGAACACCAGAGCTTATTTCAAGCAAGAAGCATGTATTTTCATATTGATAAAATTGCTAACAAGATTAAGCAAACCTGAAAAAAGAAAGCAAAGCAAGCATTTTGTATGTTTCGGCCTTGGGGAGACGGACTCCTTTGCTGAATTTTTGGAACGGGGAAGTAGTATTTGAAATGTGGCACTATCTGTAAAGCCAACCTTGCTGAAGCTGCATTTTGAAAATATTTGTGTCAGCACCATCTTAGGACATTAAGTTCTGGCTAAATATGCAACACACACTGTAGCCATAAGCTCATCCTTCTAAGAACATAAGCACAATGAATGTGCTACGCTCAAACTGCCATACAGACCATTAACTGATTGATTATTTTTGCACTGTCTGCTCTGTAACAGAGTAATAAATGCTTTGTCATATGGTTGCCATATAGAGAGAGGCATTTACTGAAACACAGAATGCAACACAGTGAGGAGACACGGGAAGCCCCTGCGCACACGGCAAGCGATTTCCTGTTTTCAGTTCCGTAAGAGCTCAACTGGCTGAACTAACTCGGAAAAGGATGTAAGTCAGTCTAGCGAGACCAGCAGCCACACTGTGTAAATAGTTTCAGAGGGTCGCCGGTCTGGTTTGCAGTAGAGCAGCTGGATTCAGGGGCACCTTGCACACCAACAAGACTTTCAGGGTGGAAGTTTTTGAGAGTCCAAGCTCCCTTCATTAGACAGGTATATAACAAAGGGGGGTCTGACTCTAAAAAGCAACTTATACCCTGGAGATCTTGTTGGCCATATGTAAGTACTAATCTGGCTGAGGTCAAATATCATAATAATTTAAAACCTAATTTGAAGAAAAGTATTCCAGAACTGACTGGTCTGAGAGATTACCTGTGCAATCCACTGTGAGTTACTCCAGTGTAAACTCACAGAAATCAGTAGGCTGAAATAACTCTGCTTTGGACGGCACCGTACATCTTCGTTTTGCCACTAAAAAAATGGCTAATCTTCAAAATATACCAACATTTGTATGTTATTAGAATGTCATTATTATTTACAGTGTTAGGTAAACATGGCATAGGTAACACCGATCTGTAAAATCCTCAGTGATAAAGCGTTTTGGAAAGTAATACTTCCTTGTTCTTCCCATTCCTTCAACCAATTTTCCCTTCCGGTTTAATTTAACTACTTCCTGAAGCAGTAAGTTAAAAAGGGCACAAGCCTTCCAACACAATATCCACTTTAGTTTATGGGAAGTCATAGGCAGATTTTTCCCTGACTTGCGTTCAACTTGCAGCAATATTTGCATTTCAGGGCATGTTTTGAATGTTTCAAAAAACTCTTTCCAATAAGGAATGCTCAACTTCTCTTGTATAACACTAGAGGGCGCTCAGGATAGCAATATGTACAATATGTAGGATTGTATATGCCTGGTTTGTTCAGGTAATTTCATTTGCTCACGCTATGATACAAAGCCGTAGAGCAACCAGGAGTCTATTTTTCACTAGGATACATTAAAAATGTACAAAATGTAGAAAAAGGAACATAGGGTCCACAGAATTTCAGCCTCTCTTCCCCTCCCTCCCAAGTACAGCTAATGAAGAAGAAGAGATTAGATTTATACCCCACCCTTCACTACCCAAAGGAGTCTCAGAGGGCCTTACAATCTCCTTTCCCTTCCCCTTACCCTGTGAGGTAGGTGGGGCTGAGAGAGTTCTTTCAAGGACTGCTCGTGAGAGAACAGCTCTGAAAAGGACTTATGACTGACCCAAGGTCACACCAGCAGCTGCATGTGGAGGAATGGGAGATCAAACCCGGTTCGCCCAGATTAGAGTCCATGCTCCGAACCAAAATAAAGTCTTAGAAATAAGGTGGGTGGTTTGAGAATATCCATATTTATTACTTTACATATATTCACTCATGAGAGGGTTCTGCACTCCCCACAATGAGGAGAAGCAGTTTCTCTCCTATTGCTTAAAGAACAAAGGTAAGGGGAAAGAGAAATGGTCTTAACTGTGTAGTCAAAACTGGGAGGGTAAACCAAGGAAAATCAGGCCAAAAACCACTATGTTGGCTTAAATCATTCCAACACAGAATTGCATCAGATTCTTTATTACATTCACCCCCACAGGAAGCCTTTATCACTATTTGTAAAATGGGACACTGAGTTGGGGGGAGGGGAGAGGAGAGAGACGGATTCTCCAAAGCCTTCGCAGTGCATCCATAGCAGCAGGGGACGGGCTAGAACACAGGCCTCCCAGATCCAAATTCCAGCACCTAAGTGACTGGACAATGTTTACTCTTAAACAGAGCAGCAGAAAACATTGCTCCCCTGAGGCAAAAATCACCCAGAGAAACAAGAGAGGCAGACAGCAAGAAAGCTTGTAGGGATGGAAAATCAAGGAAACCACGCTCTGAGACAGAAAATTGCAAAGGTAATGGGACCAGGAGACAAACTATTAAAAGGAGAGCACATCTGTGCAGAAGTTTAAAGGGGTATGTGCACTGCATGAACATACGTTTCATCACCACAAAGACAAAAATGAGTTAACGTAGCCAGGACATTTCTAATTAATAAAACAGTGGTACTGACAGGCCTCACAAAGGTCTCTGAATCCTTCCTCTCCCCCATATATACCAAATAACCAGAGAGGGTGCCTAAAGCAAAGAATGGGCCTTTCCAAACACTGATTAGATCCTGAACATGAAACAAAAGCATCAATTTCAATAACTTAAAGTGAGAAACATTTTTTATCCCCATTGCATGTATACCTTTCTGATCTCCTCTTATCCTTCCAATGTGAATCTTTTTCAAGGTGCCTTCCTTGGCTGAAGCAAGACTAGCAGCTATAAAGTGGTAGCACCTTGCTTGATGCTCACCCGAGACGTGACCTGTTAGCTTCTTTCTGGCTTTTGCAAAGACATCTCCTTGAATGTACCAGGCCTTGAGGAATTAGGTGCTGCACTGTGTGTGTTGGCTTTAAGATCCTTGTTTTTCTCTTAGTTGTACAGTGAAAACAAAAGCCTCCCTTCCTTTAGCTTTTACAGTTTAGCCTTGATTAGGAAGACAACTGATGGTCTCATAATCAGCCAAAGTAATATTTAGGCTGCAGTCCCAACGCATGACCACTCCTGAGCAGTCACGTGTATCTCAATAGTGTTTCAAATTAATTACAAACCAGTCATCTTGACTTAGGCTTTTTTAAAGAGCCAGATTCTCCCTCTTCTAAGGGCCAGAGCAGATCTGTCTTTTTCCAACTGCGTCCAGAGCTCCAAAGCACTTGCTTGTTTTTGTTTTAATTTAAATTGCAGGTGCTCAGGACCTTAATGGGCTTTGGACTGTGCTGAAGGGAGAGGGAGGTTTCTCAGCCTTTTCCTTGTGCCCGTCTCACAGCTCCACAGGCCTCTACTTTCTGCCCCGCTGGACATCCATACAGATAAACATGCAGAGTGCTTATCCCAGAATGGGAGGCCTTCCAGCCTCTCATAGAGAAACAAACAGTTGCCCAGTGAAGAAAGGGGTGAACCTTCACTGCATCGTGGAGGCTCTAATGCCGCCTGGGCTAATTCTCCTGCAAAAATCTCAGTGGACTGAATGCCTGGAGGAAGTAAGGATCCACCACAAATCAGCCAAGTCCATAAAGCACGTTGTAATAATATCCTTTGGTGGGGCCCTACTATGTCCACTCTGTAGAAAATTATCATTTTGATTGATGGCTGGAAGTAATTATCATTGTTTTAAAATGTTGTTTTTAATTATTTAACTTACATGCTACTGTCACAATTTTTGTGTGACCTTATAGCCCGTCCTGAGCCCATTTGTGGGGAGGGTGGGATAGAAATAGAACTAAATAATAATAAAAAAGGAAAAAGTTGAGTGAGTAATCCCTGTCATATGTATGGGCTGTTATAGTGTCCGTGCACTGAAGTATAATCAGGGAGCAATGCATTTATATTGAGGTCTGTGAACACATGAAGCTGCCTTATTATACTGAATCAGACCACTGGGGTCCTTCGAAGTCAGTATTGTCTACTCAGACTGGCAGTGGCTCTCCAGGGTCTCGTGCTGAGGTCTTTCATATCACCTCCTACCTGATCCTTTTAACTGGAAATGCTGAGGATGCTGTATAGATTTCATGTATTGTAAGAGGGCAACATCACTCAGAGCAACATTACTCAGGAAAGCAGTGTGTGTGTATGTGTGTTCATAAAAGGCGTCTTCTGCACTAATTCATTATCTCTAGTGCAGTTGGACTTGGAGGCTTAATGAAATGTTCATGAGTACATCTAGGGAGCGATGCATCTCATTTGCTATGGGATTGCTTCTCCTGTTGATATAGACCGCATTATGTCTATTAACAGTGATGGGAGTTATTCCAGACATATTTATTTATGTATTTAACACATATTTTTCTTGCCTGCCCATCCAATTCTGGGTCTGCACGGTGACTAACCAGTAAGCTCTGTACAAAATCAAATTCAGATAATGGAAAGAATAACCAGCCTGCATTTTATTTTATTTTAACTTTCATATAATTGAGGAGGAGATGCAGAACTATGTGTTGTTGAAGCAGCAAAAGCTGGGGCAGGGGAACATGGCAACCTGCCACATCTCACCCTAACATGCTTTGCAGCAGAACAAAGTCTGAGTCCAGTGGCACCTTTAAGACCAACAAAGTTTTATTCAAGGTATGAGCTTTCATGTGCACACACACTTCTTCAGCAGTTTCTCACCCAGAGAAGGCAGGCAG